GAGCATATTTTCATGTGCCTATGACTATAAACTCTGGGAGGTAGTGAAGGGTGAAGGACAGGGGAGCCTGGTGTGCTGCAGTCCATGGGGTCACAAAGAGTCAGATACGACTTAGCGACTGAACAAAAACCTGGAGAAATGTCTGTTCAAATCCTTTACCAACTCTTAATTGGGTTATTTGTCTTTTTTATTATTGAGTTGTAAAACTTCTTTATATACCCTAGATGTAAGTCCCTTATCAGATACATAAATTACATATATTTTTGTCCAATCCTAGTGTTTACTTTGCTTTCTTCATGGTTGCTTGTGAAGGGCCAACATTTTAATTTTGATAGAGTTCAGTTTCTCTATTCCTCAGTTATTTGTACTTTTAGTGTCATATCTTAGAAACCATCCCCTAATCCATAGTCATGAAGAGAGAACTATGTTTTCTTCTAAGATCTGTTTTGTCTTAATTTGTTGGAAGAGGTCAGGGAGATAGTTTTTAAATGTATATTTAATTTGGAACGTTGGCAGAAATTGAGGTGGATATATCTGACAAGCATTTGGAAATTTGGTACTAGAAATTTAGAGAGAAAATAGGGTTAAAGTTAGAGATTTGGTTGCCTCTTAGGTAAAGGTGGTAATTGAAGGTATAAAGTAGTGGATGAAATTACCAAAGAAGAAACTTGTAGAAGAGGTTGGGGGAGGCCAATGAGGGGAAGTTTGGGAAGACACACATTTGATGGTGGATGGAGAACAGCCGTCAATGAAAAAGACCAAGTAGTCAGTGAGTTAGAAAGACCACAGTGTAACAGTGCTACGGAAGCCAAGGCAGAGCGAATTTCAAGATTGACTCCTGGGTGGTAAACGACTTTATAAAGAGAAAAATGAGACTGAGATAATGCTGCGAGATCTTACGGGATGCCATTGCTATTATTCAGAAACACATTTTCAAGATAATCACTGGAGGACAAAACCTGATTACAGTACATTAAAAGAATGAGTGGAAAGTAATGAAGGCAGAAAGATTTTGAGGAAATATCAAGGATAAAATATTTTAAAATATGTGTGACTCTGAAATTAAATATTGTTAATACAAATTTTTGTGCTTTTAAATATCAAAAATTGCATATGTACTGAAAACAAGTCCATAGATAGTCAAATTGAAGAAGAGGGGTAATTACAGTTACCAAATCTGTACCTCTTTTTACAATATGAATAGAGAAGTTATTTTTTAAACCACCTTTGAGGTATGATTGACATACGAAGCTGTGCATATTTTTCTCTGTACAGCTGGATGAGTTTGGAGATAAGTTTACACTGATTAAACTATTACCATAATGGATACCATAAACATATTCATCACCTCCAAAGGTGTCCTTCCCTCTTTATTTTTTAAAAAAAATTTCGGTGGTAAGAGCACTTACCTTAAGATCTACCCTCTTAGCAAATTTTTAAAAGTGCAGTGCAGTATTTTAACTATAGCACTATGCTGTACAATAAATCTCTAGGACTTACTTACCTTGTGTCACTGAAACTTTGTGTCACTTGACAGTTCTGCGATTAGTCGCCCAGTCCTGTCCAACTCTTTGTGATCCCATGGACTGTAGCCCACCAGGCTCCTCTGTCCCTGGGGATTCTCCAGGCAAGAATACTGGGTAGCCATGTAATACATGGTTGCCATGCCCTTCTCTCAGGGATCTTCCCAATCCAGGGATTGAACCCAGGTCTCCTGCATGGCGGACAAATTCTTTACTGACTGAGCCCTCAGGGAAGCCAAGAATACTGGAGTAGGTAGGCTTTCCTTCCTCCAGGAGATCTTCCTAACCCAGGAATTGAACCAGGGTCTCCTGCATTGCAGGTGGATTCTAATGCCTCCTCATTTTCTCCTTAGCCCAGCCCCTGACACCCGCCATTCTTTTCTGCTTCTAAGAGTTGTATCTATTTTAGATTCCACATATAAGTGATACCATGTAGTATTTCTTCTGTGTTTAGCTTATTTCATTTAGGATAGTGTCCATCAGGTTCATTCACATTGTTGCAAACAGTGGAATTTCTTTCTTAAAGCTGAATAAAATTCCATTTGTATGTTTATACCACATCTTGTTTATTCATTTATCCATCATTAAATATTTAAGTTGCTTTTGCCTCTTGGCTATTGTGAATAATACTGCAAGGAACATGGGAGTGCAGATGTCTCTTCGAGACCCTAGTTTCAGTTCCTTCGGATCTGTACACAGAACTGGGATTGCTGGATCATATGTATCTCTGATTTCTTGAGGAACCTCCATAGTTTTCTACAGTGGCTGCACCAGTTGACGGTTCCACCCACAGTGCAGAAGGGTTCTGTTTTTCTCCACATCATCATCAGCGCTTGTTACTGCTTGTCTTTTTGGTAATAGTCATTCTGACAGGTGTGAGAGGATATCTCATTGTACTTTTCATTTACACTTCCCTGGTAATTAGTGATGTTGAGCATTTTTTCATGTACCTCCATCATTTTTATATCTTCTTTGGAGAAATGTCTGTTCAGTTCCTTCACCCATTTTAAAATCAGGTTGTTTAGGGTTTTTTGCAATTAAATTGTGAGGGTTCCTTGACCTCTCATCAGGTATGTGGTTTGCATATATTTTCTCATATTCTGTAGTTTGCTTTTTCACTTCAGTGTTTCCTTTACAGTGCTAAAGCTTTTGGTTTGATGTAATCTCATTTTTCTATTTTTACCTTTGTTGCCTGTGCTTTTGGTATCATATCTAAGAAATGATTGCAAAAGGTTAATGTCTGGAAGCTTTTGTGCCATATTTTCTTCCAGGAGTTTTACTGTTTCAGGTCTAATATTTAAGCCTTAAATCTATTTTGAATTGATTTCTGTGTAAGGTGTAAGATAGGGATCCAGTTTCATTCTTGTTATGTGGTGATGTTCCCAACACTGTTTACTTAAGGAACTATCCATTTCCCATGTATTCTTGGTCTCCTTGGCACCTCAGTTGACTGTAAGTGGATTTATTTATAGGCTGTCTGTTCAGTTCCATTGACCCGTATGAGTGTCATTTGTGCCATATTGTTTTGATTACCATAGCTTTTTTTAGGTTGGCCAAGATGTTACAGCAAAACCCTAATGAACTTTTTGGTGAACCCAGTATACTTTTGGAAAACTCAGCAGTGGCCACAGGACTCAAAAAAGTCAGTTTTAATTCCAATCCCAAAGAAAGGCAATGCCAAAGAATGCTCAAACTACCACCCAGTTGCACTCATCTCACACACCAGCAAAGTAATGCTCAAAATCCTCCAAGCCAGGCTTCAACAGTATGTGAACCGTGAACTTCCAGATATTCAAGCTGGATTTAGAAAAGGCAGAGGAACCAGAGATCAAATTGCCAACATCCATTGGATTATCAAAACAAGAGAGTTCCAGAAAAACATCTACTTCTGCTTTATTGACTATGCCAAAGCCTTTGACTGTGTGGATCACCATAAACTGTGGAAAATTCTGAAAGAGATGGGAATACCAGACCACCTGACCTGCCTCCTGAGAAATCTGTATGCAGGTCAAGAAGCAACAGTGAGAACTGGACATGGAACACAGACTGGTTCCAAGTAGGAAAAGGAGTACGTCAAGGCTGTATATTGTCACTCTGTTTATTTAATTTCTATGCAGAGTACATCATGAGAAACACTGGGCTGGAAGAAGCACAAGCTGGAATCAAGATTGCCAGGAGAAATATCAATAACCTCAGATATGCAGATGACACCACCCTTCTGGCAGAAAGTGAAGAGGAACCAAAGAGCCTCTTGATGAAAGTGATAAAGGAGAGTGAAAAAGCTGGCTTAAAACTCAACATTCAGAAAACTAAGATCATGGCATCTAGTCCCATCACTTCATGGCAAATAGATGGGGGAACAGTGACAGACTTTATTTTCTTGGGCTCCAAAATCACTGCAGGTGGTGACTGCAGCCATGAAATTAAAAGATGCTTATTCCTTGGAAGGAAAGTTATGACTAACCTAGGTAGCATATTAAAAAGCAGAGACATTACTTTGCCACCAAAGGTCAGTCTAGTCAAGGCTATGGTTTTTCCAGTGGTCATATATGGATGTGAGAGTTGGACTGTGAAGAAAGCTGAGCACTGAAGAATTTATGCTTTTGAACTGTGGTGTTGGAGAAGACTCTTGAGAGTCCCTTGAACTGCAAGGAGATCCAACCAGTCCATCCTAAAGGAAATCAGTCCTGAATATTCATTGGAAGGACTGATGCTGAAGCTGAAACTCCAGTACTTTGGCTACCTGATGCAAAGAATGAATTCATTTGAAAAGACCCTGATGCTGGGAAAGATTGAGGGTGGGAGGAGAAGGATGAGATGGTTGGATGACATCACCGACTCAGTGGACGTGAGTTTGAGTAAATTCTGGGAGTTGGTGATGGATAGGAAGGCCTGGCGTGCTGCAGTCCATGGGATTGCAAGGAGTCAGACACAACTGAGCAACTGAACTGAACTGAATAGTCTTTATAATGATTTTAAGTAACAGTGGCACATATGACAATATTTAAAACTACATGGTATTTCTATTTTGGGGATTAAACCCAAGCATTAATTGGGTATAGAATAAGTCCTCTGTTAATATATTCATATAGTTTTTAGTTAGATAAAATATATATGATATTTGTGAGATTATGTACCAGAATATTTTTAAACTTCTCTATTATGCAGAGCATTTACTTGGATCTTGGAAGTGTGTGTACCTTTTGACAAGTATAAATTATATCAAACAGAAAATTTATTTATTTAAGCTCTTATCAAGTATATTGATATTAATAGGCACATAATCACTGTGGGGGGGGGGGGAAGGTGTAGGGAATAGCTCCATTGCTGTAGAGACCATAATCCCTGTCTTTGGGTAATACAGCAAACTTTTAAATACTTTTAAATACTAATAAACTTCGTAGCCTATGAAAGGCCAAAGTAGCTAGTGCTCCTGCCTGTGCTCTTTTTGAATCTTCCTTATTTAATCTTCCAAAGGCAATTGACATACATCCAAAAGAAATGCCACAGTGAACCTGACGGACCTGGGGTAGCAGCATTAACTACCGAGGAGCGAACTCGATGGGCTAAGGTTATAATTTACATTTTTCTTTTCTTTTGAGTTACAATTGACTTACAACATTCTATTCAGGTATACACATAAGGATTTAGTATTTGTTTATATTGAGAAATATCACAGTAAATCTGGTTAACATCCATCACTGTATAGAAAATTTAAAAATTCTCTCTTGTGATGAGAACTTTAAGATATACTCTCTAGCAACTTTCAAATAGGCAGTACAATATTATTAACTATAATTTAGACTTGGGGAGAGGATGTACTTTTATTTTGTTTACCTTTATAGTTCAAACACTCAACTTAAGCACATGCTGGCTGGCTGTTCAGATTTTGAAATAAAGACAAATAGACAGACAGCTTTAAGCTTTAAGCAATGTTAAATACATTGTACAATATTGAGCAATCAGAAAATCTAGGGGGTGGCATAACTTTATGTGTGCTTAGTCACTCAGTCATATCCGACTTTGTGACCCCGTGAACTGTAGCCCACCAGGCTCCTCTGTTTATGGGATTCTCCAGGCAAGACTATTCAAGTGGGTAGCCACTTCCTTCTCCAGGGGACCTTCCCAACTGAGGGATCAAACCTGGGTCTCCTAAATTGCAGGCATTTTCTTTACTGTCTGAGCACCCAGGAAAGCAGGCATAACTTTATACCTTTATACATTTAGTAGCACAAGTGTAGGGAGTAGGCGTGCTATTAGAGAAGAAAACCTGTTCAGGATTCAACACTGAGGTCCTTGAATTTACACTTTTCTTGATGAACCTTTTCTCTAACTTTTCGAGAACCTGTTGAGCTTTTCTGGCTATTTTATATTTAACTTGTGACATTTTATTTTTTCTCCTTGCCTTTTAGGCACGAGAATATTTGATTAGTCTTAATCCCGAGAACCTGACTATGTTAGAAAAAATTCAGAGCAGTCTACTGGTATTTTGTTTAGATGATGACAGTCCACATGCTACACCAGAAGATTATTCTCAGGTATTCAGCTATCTTGTTCTGTTATTTCTTTCTTTCCTTTTTTTTTTTTAAGAATTTACTTATCTTTGGCTGTGCTGGGTCTTTGTTCCTTTGCATGGGCTTTCTCTCTAGTTGTGGCAAGCGGGGTGTGTTCTCCAGTTGCTGAGCGTGGGTGGCTTCCCGTTGTGGAGCACAGGCTATAGGTGCATGGGCTTCAGTAGCTACCACTTATGGGCCAGACCTCTGTCCCCTGTGCCGGCAGATGGATTCTTAACCATGAGGCCACCAGGAAAGTCCCTTGTTTTATTTCTTCCCACAGATTTTTCTGGAGAAAAATCTTGTGTAAGTTGAACATGAGAAGAATTTTGTTACATGCAGGCTTTTTTTTTTTTAAGTATCACTTTATTAAGTATAATTGACTTGCAAAAAACTGTATATATTTAATGTATACAACTTTGTTTGAAGTATACACCTATAAAACCACCTTGAAACATAATCGTGAAAACAGTTGTTTCCTAGATTTTGGAAACATCTTTTATCTTAGAATGGGGCAGTTAAGAAAAGAAAGCACAAATACTAAGTCATAAAATATAAATATTTTGTGCAAGCTTTTAAAGCGTTTTCTTAGCTACACACACATGTATCATAAGATTATACGTAAATAAATCTGCTACTGCTAAGTCACTTCAGCCGTGTCCGACTTTGTGCGACCCCGTCCCTGGGATTCTCCAGGCAAGAACACTGGAGTGGGTTGCCATTTCCTTCTCCAGTGCATAGAAGTGAAAAGTGAAAGTGAAGTCGCTCAGCCATGTCCGACTCTGCGTGACCCCATGGACTGCAGCCCACCAGGCTCCTCCGTCCATGGGATTTTCCAGGCAAGAGTGCTGGAGTGGGTTGCCATTTCCTTCTCTAGAGGATCTTCCTGACTCAGGGATTGAACCTGGGTCTCCCACATTGTAGGCAGACGCTTTACCGTCTGAGCGGCAAGGCTGTTTAGACAGATTTTATATGTTGTTTAAAGAAGTATGAGTATTATTTGCTTATCACATGGCAGTGGTTCCCAACCTTTCCATTGATTATATATACAGAAAATTTGCATAAGGCATGGGGCAAAATAAGCTTTTCAAACCAAAAGTGACATGAAAACCTACCTATAACCCACAGCAGTGGGCCTTGATACCTTAGTTGGTGAGGTCTGTCCTAAGAATTACGTCACTCTTGTGACTTATTTTATCATTTGGTTTTATAAAACCCACTAACGTTAGTGAGTTTAAGGATAATTGGGGTTTTATTTTTTTTTCTGGGACATTACCATTTCCTGGGAAAAAATAAAAGATAAGCAGTTGTATTTGCAGGAATCTCAGAATCTTTGCATCCATCAGTATTAAATGAGATAAATAATATTGTATTGAAAAATCTTGTAGCTTGAAAAATTTTCCCTCTTTAGCTGCTTTCTTATTTTTATTTATTTATTTTTTTAAACTGTTAAGAAAATTTTCGTGGTTTTATTGTATCATGAGGCATTGAAACATCTGAACAAATCAATATCTGGGTGGTGAGGCAGCTACTTTCTCCTTCACTTCTTTGGGTTACTAGAGCAACTGACAGTAGATTAAAAAAAAAAAAAGACAACCTTTTGCATAACTTAAGTCTTTCCAAGGCTTGTGCTGGTACAACACAAACTTCTCCTGTGAGATGCGACTAGTCTAGCGTCCAAACATCATGCGCAACTCCTCGATAGCAGCAGCGCACTGCACCCACGCCCACCGCGGCCCTGCTCATTTGTGAATGATATTTGGAGCATCTGGAGGAGTGTGAATAATATCGGAAAGAGGAGGGAGGAAGAAACAGCATGAGTGCCTGGCTGGGAGGAGGTCAGCCAAAGTTGCGCAGGGAAAGCCTGAACATGCCATTGGTGCAAACCCAAGCATCATTGATGTTCTTTAATAGGAACATCTGGTGGAACCCCATGATGGGGTCTTCATCGGCCTTGAGCTGGCCCACAACCATGCTGATGATGCAGCTGTCTGGTGTGGGCTGATGGTCCTGTGCCATAATGCTGTGCTGGATTTTCTGGAATGGAAGGCTGGACAATTTCTCCGCAATGGCAGCTTTCCCCTGGAATTGCTGTCCTTCCCACTTAAGGCATGATGCATCAATCCGAGGGGCTGGCACGATGGCGGCGGCGGCAGTGGCAACCCCTAACTGCCTTTTTAAAAGTAGAATCAACGAATTTCTTGAGGAAGAATATATTTTAATTAAATGTTGCTCAGACTTTTTTGCTGCAATCTACAGTTAGACATATTTAGATTGTAGCTCATTAAACACACACACATGTGCTCACACACACAAATACATACATAATAGAAGTTTCACAAAAGAGTAATTACTTTGACTATCTGTGATATATTCTGATGTTTATGTTCTATTGTTATTCCTTTTGTTCTTTTCCTGACTCACTTATGGCCAAAACCTACCATTTGAGAAACTGGCTTAGTGAGATATGAATTCTTGAAATATTTTCCTTGTAACTAGATTTTCATGACTAAACTTATCAATGCTTCTTATCCCATTAAAGTTGCAAACACCTTGTCCTTTCACTTTGATATTCTCTAAACATTCATGAATATTGTCCCACCTCTTTTCTGGTAGAATTTCTTGGATTTTGAGTATTTAAATAGTCAGGACCTGAATTATTATCTCTTGAGAATAGCTGTTATTTTATTAAATTTGGTTTACCTAAAGAGAGGAAACGTGAGATCATGTGTGTTTGTATGTATTTAAGATACAAGTACTTAAAAACCAATATTAAGATTCTTTTAATTTGAAATAATAAATTTATTTTAGGTTTCTGCAAAGATTCTTAGTGGAGATCCAACAGTACGCTGGGGTGACAAATCTTATAACTTGATTTCCTTTTCTAATGGAGTATTTGGCAGTAATTGTGATGTAAGTAAACTACTGAAGTTACTTTTTCCTTTTACTCTTTTCAGTTAAATGAGCGGCAGTAATCTACAATAGGCTGTCCTGTGGCAGGATAATAAATCATTTTTTAGCTTTATGGCATTAGGGTAAAAGTTTTAGTTATGAATTCTCAGTGAAAACAGCATAGGACAAATTATTTTCGTCTGTAGTTAGGGTAACAGTTTGGTGTGTGTCTGTAAAATGGAATTTGCATGTATCTTTATGTGGTAGAAGCTTTTAAAATCTACTGCTACTTGTTGTTGAAAATAACAACATATTAAAAAAGATATAGCATTATGTATATGTTCTGTGTACAGAGAAATGTATATAGCTATATTTGTACATTTGCCTAGTAATTTTGTAACCTTGTTAAAAAAAATGACACATGATCTTTGAAACATTATTTACTTCTAGATATTAAAATATTTGGTACTGGATAGCATTTTTTTTTTTTTACCTTCTCTATGCAAGACAGAAAAAGAGACACAGATGTATAGAACAGACTTTTGGACTGTATGGGAGAAGGCGAGGGTGGGATGATCTGAGAGAACAGCATCGAAACATGTATATTATCAAGTGTGAAACAGATCGCCAGTCCAGGTTGGATGCATGAGACAAGTGCTCAGGGCTGGTGCACTGGGATGACCCAGAGGGATGGGATGGGGAGGGAGGTGGGAGGGGGGTTCAGGATGGGGAACACATCTACACCCGTGGCAGATTCATGTCAATGTATGGCAAAAACCACTACAATATTGTAAAGTAATTAGCCTCCAACTAATAAAAATAATTGGGAGAAAAACAAAACAAACAAACAAAAAAAAATATTTGGTACTGGATAGCATTGTTTTTTTTACCTTCTTTACAAAATATACGTATACACACACACGACTTGTTTCCCTCCTGTTCTCCTATGTTTGTTTTATCATCTCTCCCCTGCCATTTTCTGAGGGACATTCAGGAGGTCTATGAACCAAGAAAATGAAGAAATCAACCAAAGTCAGAACTGCAGTCTATACATATAATCTTGTTATATGCCTTTTCATAAAGTATGTGACTTGGTATAAAGTAGTATGAGATAGGTTTTTTTTGTTTGTTTGTGTTTGGGGGCTTTCCTCCAAAAGATTGAGTGACTAAAATACTAGAAAGACCTGTTGATCTGGGTTCAGTAGTTGTATTAATCAGTAATTTTTTTCAGTTTTAGGTGATAGAAACCTAAATCAAACTGTCATTATCTTACGGAGATATTTATGGCATGGGGTACAGCTAAATTGGGGTCAGGCTGACTTCCCATGTCCAAATGCTTTCGTTAGAAATTTCTACATTTTTTGGCATCACTTTCCTACACTCAGCTTTATTTTTATGTAGACTATACCATGTGATGGTTTTACCTACAATCTCATGTTTTCACAGCTCTCCTAGTAGGTTATTGTTCTTCATGGAAAGAGCCAGCCTTTTTTTTTTTTTTTTAACCCCTCTGGCTCCAGCAAAAGACCTGAGAATAATGCTCGTTGGTTGTATCAGCCTGTGTGCATCTTGTGTACATTCCAGGGAGTCCACGTGGCCTGGGTCACATGCCAAACCTTGGGACCCAGCTAGTAGAATCACTCACTCATTCAAACCACCGCAGAGATGTGTGCTCGTTGCCTAAAGAAAAGTAAGGTAGTTGTTACTGCCAAAGAAGGTGGAGTAGTTGACGTGCAGGTAATAGAATGTCTGTTAACAGTTGTCTTTCTTCTTCCTTAAGAGTCCCTGTTGACAAAAGATTTCTTGTTAATTGCCTCCGCTTTTTTCTCTTCAGCTCCTTGTTTGATTCTTCTTAACCTCCTCAGTCTGGTTTATAGCCTCACTGTTCCCTGGAAACTGCTTTGTAAAGTAGTTAACAACCTTCTGGCTGCTTCCTTCCATCTCTCCTTGACTTGTCAGGTGGAAAGGATCTCCTGCCTCTTCATGTGCATCTCACATTGCCTTCATCCTCCTAGAAGTCTCTTCCTGTCTCCAGATTCTAAAACTGAGCTTAACATTATTCATAACCATTTTCCCCCTCTGCCTGCTCTCTCTTCTGATTTGTTTGCACTTATATTTTTCTAGTTTTTACTTGGTACTCTCATTTTGAGAGTTTTGTTTCACTCTGTGTTAAATTGTCCAAACCGAATGTTACATTGTTACGAAAGGGTTAAGTTACTGTCATCATCAAGAGTTCATCTTCTTGCTTTCCTCCCTCACTCCGAGCCCCCTAAAATTACCACCTTGTACTACTTTGATTTTTACTAATGACACCAATATCCTGCGGTTTGCTCAAATTCAGGAGAAAGTAATTTTAATCATATTTTCTATTTTGGGATAAAAATACTGGTCCTATAATGAGCATGTGTCTTTGTACAACTGAGATGTTCTCTTGTAGTAAAGTGTGTGGACACATTTTCTGTGTATGCATTATCCCCCATATATTTATAAAATTGATCTGATGGTCTTCCCTAGATAATGTGCTTTCAAAATTCCATGTAGGTTACTCTTGCAACCCAAGATGATTACTGAAAATACTATTTAACCTATATAAAACATTATTAGTAAAGCATATATACTGTAAAGTTAACTTGCTCTTGATCTAGAGTCATGTTGCTGCTCTCTTACATTGGTACTAAAATATGTACATTAGACTACATAATTGCATTTCCCTCTCGGGATTTAAAATCCTGGGGTCAACTGTTTTGTCTTCTCTTTGTTAGAGGGTTTTGTGGAGATCACATTTGTTGTTCAGTTGCTCAGTCATGTCCGACTCTTTGCCACCCCCTGGGCTATGACACACGAGGCTTCCCTGTCCTTCACTCTCTCCCAGAGTTTTCTCAAACTCATGTCCATTGAATCAGTGGTGCCATCCAACCATCTCATCCTCTGTCACCCCCTTCTCCTCCTGCCTTCCGTCTTGCCCAGCATCAGGGTATTTTCTAATGAGTCAGCTCTTTGCATCAAGTAGCCAAAGTATTGGCACTTCAGTATTGCTCTTCTTACTGGTTGCATTTTAACACTGTTGTCTCAGTGAAACAATATATGCAGTGTCTGTGAAAATTTGTTGTAAAGCTACAGAATACTATGCAGCTGTGAGATGCAGTTAGAAGAGGGTTTGTCCATGACCGGTGAGTCTTGTTACTTGGCATACATGTCACTGGGACCTCCGTCTGCTTTTCCATAGTGGTCTTACCATTCCTTAACATTTTACCATTCTATACATACATGTGTATACCTCCTTTAACTTCCAGTACAAATAGCAATTGTCTTCTCTTTATGATTCACATTTACTTTACATCCCTTCCCATTACTTCAAGAGCCCTGATTGTTGCTTCTAACTGTAAATATGTGTTCTTCCTCAGAAAATAAAATACATCAATTGCTTACTAAACTGTAGAGTATCCCTATCTTTATCATTATGAGGTGAGGCAGATGAGAATTCTGCTCTTGTGTGTTAAGAGTGGGGCAAAAATGAAAATAGAATACTGGGTCAAGTCTTAACTTACATGAAGTATTCAAAATTTTGTATGTTTTCATTTTAGCATGCTCCTTTTGATGGAATGGTTCTGGTAAAAATCTGCTGTTATATTGATGAGAGCATTATTAAGAATGAAGGAAGATGGAAGGTATGTTAGAACAAATGATTTCCTCCCTTTTCGCCTCATATTTTTATAGATACAGTATTTTTAAGTTTTCCCTATTTTCAGGGCTCAGAAAAAGTACGGGATATACCGGTTCCAGAGGAGCTTGTTTTCACTGTGGATGAAAAAGTATTAAATGACATCGGCCAAGCTAAGGCCCAGTATTTCAAGCAGGTAGATTTTTCACTTTTCTCTTTGATAGTTAATACTTTATCTTTTAACTACTGTGTATGAATATTTGGCTATCATCCAAGTATGATGGCATAAAACATTTAAAAGTTATAACTTTTACCACTTTTATTTCTGTTTTATTCATTTAATGCTAATGATAATTTGGTTATCTTTGAGGGTACTCTCCTTGGGTATATGTTCACTCTTCCCATTTAATTCTGTTTGTTAGGCATCCGATCTCCAGCTTGTGGTGTATGCCTTCACATCTTTTGGAAAAAAGCTAACCAAGAAGAAGCAGCTTCACCCTGATACATTTATTCAGCTGGCACTTCAGCTGGCCTATTACAGACTTCACGGACGGTGAGGACCAGCCCTTCTCCACTTTCAGAGTCTGGAGGCCAAAGAGGATATCTATGCTCTAGCTGTTCTACTGTAACTCCCGTGTTTCCTCTGAGGTTTTTCCCCACTTGGCGCTGTGCCCTAATCTGTACTTTGATCAGCAGTGTTGTTAGGTTTCCACCTGTGACACTGTGACAGTCTTTCCTTGTTTTTCATTACCTTGATACTTTTGAAGTACCTGTTCTCGTCTCACAGAGGTTTGCCATGCTTTGGAATTCAGATCACTTGGTTTTCTTGAAGCCTGTTTTCAGATGGGCTCATGAAAAGACATAGTTTTGTGGAATCTAGTCTTTACTCATTTTTAGGGTAAGAGAGGTGGTATGTTGTGACTTTCTACATCCGAAGCAGAAGTGGAAGCTCCTTGATCTTTTAAAAATTTTATCTGAGAATATGTATCTTTATGTTTTTAAATTTTGTTTATTTTTGGTTGAGCTGGGTCTTCACTATTGCGCATGGGCTTTCTTTAGTTGCAGACAGTGGCAGCTGCTCTTCGTTGCTGTGCACGGACTTATCGCAGTGGCTTCTCTAGTTTTCAGGGTACAGGTCTTTTTGTCTCCTTGGGTAAACTTAATCCTACGTGTTCTTTTTGATGTTACTGTAAATTGTTTTCTTGACTTACTTTTCATATTACTTATTGCTAGTGTATAGAAATGCAACTGATTTTTGCGTGTTGACTTCATACCCTGAAAAAACTGAATTCATTTATTATCTCCAACAATTTTTTTGTGGATTCTTTAGCATTTTGATATCTATGAATAGAGATAGCTTCAGTTTTTCCTTTCTGATTTGGATGCCTTTTATTTCTTTTTTTATAGTTAGAATAGCCAGTACTATGTTGAGTAGAATGACAGAAGCAGGCATCCTTGTCTTATTATTCATCTTAGCTGGGAAATTTTTGGTTTTCCACCACTGACTATGGTGTTAACTGTGGGTTTTTCATAAATCTTTATCATATTGAGGAAGTTCCTTTGTTCACTTTTTATTATGGCAGAGTACAAGATTTTATAAAAAGCTGTTTCTGTATCAGTTGTGATTATCATGTAGGTCTTTTTCTTCATTCTATTAATGTGGTGTATCACATTAATTTTCATATGTTGCACCATCCTTGCATTCGTGGGATAAATCCCAGTTGGTTATGGCGTACAGTTAGTTCCCTACATACAAATGAGTTCTGTTCTGAGTGCTCATTTCTGAGTCCAGTTTGTTAGTAAGTCCAACAAAGTTAGCCTAGGTACTCAACTAACGCAGTCAACTGTATAGTACTGTACTGTAGTAGGTTTATATATTTCACACAAATAATATATAAAAAACAAACACAAAAAATTAAACGTTTAACCTTACAGTAAAGTACCTTGAAGAATACAGTACAACAGCTGGCATATGGAGGCTGGCATTGAATGAGCAAGCAAGAAGAATTACTGACTGGAGGAGGCAGAGGAGATGGGGAGATGGTGGAGCTGAAGGGTCATCTGCAACAGGAAATGGAGGGCAGTTTGAACAACCACTTGCAGAGGATGCATGCTCGTGACAATGTACGCCAGACACGTGAACTAACTTACATGATTGATAAGTGAACACACGTTCACATCTTTGAAAGTTGGCAGCTTGAAGGTTCATATGTAGGAGACTTACTGTGTCATCCTTTTAATCTGCTGTTAAATTCAATTTGCTAGTAAATTGGAGAGGATTTCTGCATCTATTCCCTGATGGCTCAGCATGTAAACAATCCGCCTTCAATGCAGGAGACATAGGAGACAAAGGTTTGATCCCTGGGTCAGGAAGATCCTCTGGAGGAGGAGATGGCAACCTACTCCAGTATTCCTGCCTAGAGAATCCCACAGATATAAGAGCCTGGCAGGCTACAGTTCATGGTGTCACAAAGAGTCGGATGTGACTGAGTGATACTGTTTGGATTTTGGACATAAGGAACATTGGTCTGTAGTGTCTTTTCTTACCACGTTTTTGCCTAGTTTTGGTGTCAGGGTAATGCTGGTCTCATTTTATGAGTAAGGAAATGATCCCTCCTCTCTAGTGTTTTTGGAAGAGTTTGAGAAGGATTGGTGGTTGATTCTTTTTAAATTTAGAATTCATCAGTAAAGCCATCTGGTCCAGGACTTAACTTTGTAGGGCGGTTTCTGATTGCTGATTTATCTCATTACTTGTTATACGTCCGGTCAGATTTCTGTTTTTCCTTGAGTTAGATTTGGTCATTTGTGTATTTCTCAGAATATGTCCATTTCATCTAGGTTATCCAGTTTATTGTAAATGGTTGTTCATAATGTTCTCTTATAGTGCTTTTTTATTTCTGTGAAGTCAATAGTAATGCCCTCTCTTTCATAGTTGATGGTAATAATCGATGTCTTCTCCCTTTTTTCTACTCAGTACAGCTAAAAGCTTGTCAATTTTGTTGATCTTTATAAAGAACCAACTTTTGGTTTAGTTCACTTTCTTTGTTTTTCATATCTGTATTTTTTTTATCTCTACGGTGATCTTAATTTGTTTTTTTTTGCTGGCTTTGGGTCTAGTTTGCTCTTCTTTTCCCTAATTCCTTAATGTGTGCAGTTAATTTACTGATTTGAGATTTTCTTCTTTAATATAAATATTTAGAGCCATAAATTTCCCTCTGAACAGTGATTTTGCTTCATTCTATAAATTTTGGTAAGTTCTGTTCTACTTTTCATTTATCTCAGTGTGTTTTCTGATAATACCTTGTGATTTCTCCCTGACCAATCGGTTAAGAGTGTGTTGTTTTATTTCTACATATTTGTGAATTTTTCAGTTTTTCTTCCGATGCTTTTTGGCTTCATCCTGTTGTCCCTGAAGAAGATACTTTGTATGGTTCCAGTCTTTTAAAATTTATTGAGATATTCTGGGTCCTATTATATGGCTATCCTGGTGAATGTTCCATGTATACTTGAGAAGAATTTATATTCTTCTATTTCCTAGTGGCATATTCTCAATCTGTCTTTTGCACACGTGCATGCTAAATTGCTTCAGTTGTGTCTGATTCTTTGTGACCCTATGGACTGTAGCCCACCAGGCTTCTCTGTCCATAGGTTTCTCCAGGCAAGAATACTGGAGTGGGTTGCCATGCCCTTCTCCAGGGGGTCTTCTCAACCGAGGGGTTGAACCTGCACCTCTGCATTGCAGGCGGATTCTTTACCGTTGAGCCACTGGGGAAGCCCTTGTCTTTTAGGTGTAGTTGCTGTTCGGGCCTTCTCTTTCCTTGTTGATCTCATGTCTGCGTGTTTTATCCATTATTGGAAGCTGGATATTTCTGAAGTCCGTGGCTGTTGTTGTAGAGCTGTCTAGTTCTCTCTTCAATTCTGTTAGAGTTTGCTTCATGTATCTTTGAACTCTGTTGTTGTACATATATATTTTTTTTTTTCATTTATTTTTATTAGTTGGAGGCTAATTACTTCACAACATTGCAGTGGGTTTTTGTCATACACTGACATGAATCAGCCATGGAGTTACATGTATTCCCCATCCCGATCCCCCCTCCCATGTCCCTCTCCACTGTTGTACATATATTTTTATAGTTGTTATATCTTGATGAGTTATATCTTTTATCAGTATATAATGTCCTGTTTGTCTCATTCAGCTTTTTACTTAAAATACAGTTTGATAATAATACTGCCACTCCAAATAGAAAAAAAAATCTGTAGCCACTCCAGCTCTCTTTTGGTTACTATTTTTTTCATCCTTTTATTTTTAACCTCTAACTGTTTTAGTATCTAAAGCAAATCCCTTGAGGATAGTATATAGACTATGTTTTTGTTCATTTTGCCAAAATCTACCTTTGGAGAGTTTAATATATTTATATTTAAGATAATTACTGATGAGGAAGAATTCTGCCCTTTTGTTATGTATTCTGTAGGTCTCATGTGGTTTTGTTCTTCAGTTCCTTCATTCCTGCCTTTTTTGGTATTTAGTTGATTTTTTTCTATAGTGTACCATTTTGATTTCCTTGTCTTCTTTGTCTCCATTTTTGAAGCTGTTTTCTTTATGGCTACCTTGGAAATTATGTTTAACATCTTAAATTTATAGCAACCTAGTTTGAATAATACCAGCTTAGTTTCAGTAGTATACACTGTGCTTTTTTGTCCATCATTGTGCTTTTATTTTGTCACAGATTACATTTTTTTACATTGTGTGTTCATTAACATAAATTTTTACTACTATTTCATGTATTTGTCCTTTAAGTAAAAAAACTGTTAAGCATTGTTGCTCTGTCTCCCATGTTTCCTATAAACTGATGGTTAGATTTGGAAACTTGAAAATAGTAATCAGTAAATTTTATTATTTTTTATAACAGTAAATCATATAGTTCATCTTATTTGTTTCCTATCATATCCTGTTCAGTTGTTAGCCGACATCCACTATAAAGGTTCCTCCCTGATGTTTTTACCTAATGGTTTTAGTGGCCATTGATGATCATTACCAAGATCTCCATTATTTCATTACAAGTTGCTGAGTAGTGATATTTTTTCATTCATTCTTACTGTGTTTATTTTGAATTTTTTTAAAAGGTTTTTTATGTGAACCATTTTTAAAGTCTATGTTGAATTTGTTACAATATTGCTTCTCTCTTGGTTTATTGGTCAGGAGGTATGTGGTAAACTAGCTCTCCGACCAGGAATTGAACCCACAGCCCCTACATTGGAAGGCAAAGTCTTACCCACTGGACCAGGAGGGAAGTCCCTACATTGTTACTTACACTTTCTTATTCCCATTTTGGAAATGATACGAGTTCAGTTCAGGGAGACAGTCTTATAGAAACACTGAACAGAGGAGGCCCAGTAACTATTTGAGGGAGTTTCTTGGTGGTCCAGTGGTTGAGACTCGATGCTTTCACTGCCATGGACCCACATTTGATCCCTGGTCAGGGAACTAAGATTCCACAAGCTGTGTGGCATGACCAAAAAATAAAACAGTGTTGACCCCTTTTAGTACCCACTTTCAGACCTTTTACTCTTATTCCATTTGATTGCTTTAACTCTGAATTCCTATCACCATGAAAGAGAGCTTTGTACCAAAAGTTGTTATATCGTTTATATCATTCTCTAACCCAGGAAAATGGTCATCACCCTTGGGCAGCAGTTCCCAACCTTTCTGGAACCAGGGATGGATTTTGTGGAAGACAGATTTTCTGTGAGGGGATGAGGGGGGTAGTTTCAACATGATTCAAGCACATTACATTTATTGTGCACTTTATTTCTAATATTACATCAGCTCCACCTCAGGTCATCAGGCATTAGATCCCAGAGGTTTGAGGGCTGCTGCCCTAGGGAACTTATTAAATAATGCTTTTACTAAATTTTACAGTCATTTAAGCTCTACACAGCAGTAGAGAATACAGAGTGCTTGGCCTTTAGTTCTCTCATATAGGCCAAGCACTGTATTCTCTATTGCTGTGTAACAAATTACCCGATATCTTAGTAGCTTGGAACAGCAAACACTTAATTGTCATCTCGCATTTTCTGTCTGTCAGGGATCCAGGCGCAGCTTAGCTGGATGCCTCTGACTTCAGTTGTTATAGTAAGGGTGTCAGCCAGAGCCACGTCCTCATCTGAAGGCACTCCTTCACGAGGATGTGCTTCCAGTCTTACTCATGTGTTTGTGAGTAAGGTGCCTTTCCTCCCAAGCTGTAGCCCAGAGGCCTGTCTGTTTCTTGCTCACTGGGCCTCTCTACAGGGCAGCCCCCAGCACGGCAGCAGGCTTTCCTCAGAGTAAGGAAGTGAGAGCTCATGAGAGAGCTCACTTTGTAACCTGATTTCAGAAGTGACTTCTCACTGCTTTTGTCCTGTTCTTTTTGTTAGAAAGAAGACACCAAGGCCATCCTACACCCACCATGAGGGGCTATACCAGGGCATTAGGAGCTGGAGGCATCTTAGAGGCCACCTACCACAGACACCAAAGCATACAGCCTGACGGCAGCCACGCCTTTGAGATATTTGTTATACGAGGCCTGAGTAGTTTTTGCTTTTGGCTGTTGAAAATAGCCTGTTTGTTATTGAAAATCTCAGTTGCAGTCTATACCATAGAACTTAATCTCTGACCAAAGCCAGCTTTACTAGGTAAACTCTTTGTAGTAACATTATAGTGTTTTCTTTCTCATGATACATTCTCTTTCACTTTCATTTTTTCTTATAGTCCTGGTTGCTGCTATGAAACAGCTATGACAAGATTATTTTATCATGGCCGTACAGAGACTGTGCGACCGTGTACAGTAGAAGCAGTCAGTTGGTGCCAATCCATGCAGAATCCTTCTACCAGTGTGAGTATTCAAAAAGAAAAAAGATAAGTTGTTTGTCCTAAAGGAAACTTGACCCTTGAATAACTAACTTCTTCAAATCCCTGAATCAGTAAAATATTTTCAAACCTTTTTTCCTGGAAATTGTCAAACATTTCTTCATTTGCCAGTGAAGTATGTACTTGGAGAGAGAAAGAAACAGGGAAGACCTGATAAGCCCATTTGCATCATCTTCTAGGCAAAGTAATTTCCCACACCTTGAGTATTTCACTACTGTAGATCTGCCTTTAGATAACACCCACACAATGCAGACTCTTCCCAAACGTCTTTACAAGGGAACTTTTCTTGATGCGGTTGAATGTTTTTGAAATGAGATTTTTTTTTTATATTAGAACCAATATAGCTTTATATGTTTTGTTGTTTCATACTTACTTTTAAGCATTTACCACACAAGAGTAGTGCGTTCCCACTGCTGTTTTGATATTGCATTTGCTTCTTTAGTCTTGATAGACATAGTTATATATTGTTGTTGTTTAGTTACTGTCGTGTCTGACTCTTTGCAACCCCATGGATTGTAGCCCGCCAGGCTCCTCTGTCCCTGGGATTTCCCAGACGAGAATAATGGAGTGGGTGACCATTTCCTTCTCCAGGGGATCTTCCTGACCCAGGGATCGAACCCCTGTCTCCTGCATTGCAGGTGGATTTTTTACCACTGAGCCACCAGAAAAGCACCTAGTTATATATGTGTTGCCTTATTTTAATTTCATGAAGCTGCTTAATTATCTTTTTTGTACAACTATGCTTTCATTTTGAAATCATAATTGCTTTTGTCTTTACACTTGTTAATATCACTTTAGTGCTACCTACAAGTTCCTATTTTCTTGTTCTGGAAAGGGAATAAGTTTCAAAGCATATAGGAAGGAAAAGGCAGTGGAAGGAGGTAAGGGTTGAGGGGAGGGATAGGTTGGAGGTTTGGAATTGACATGAACACACTGATATATTTTAAATAGATAACCAGCTAGGACCTACAGTAAAGCATAGAGAAGTCTGCTCAGTCTTCTGAGCATAACCACCTAAATGGGAAAAGAATCTGGGAAAGGATGGATAATGTATATGTAGAACTGAATCACTTTGATGTGCACCCGAAACTAACACCACATTGTTAATCAACTATACCCCAATATAAAATACATTTTTTTAAAAAAGGCAATAGAAGAAGTGCGAAAAAAGACACAAAAATTATGTGTCTCGAGGTCTTTCTTGAAATCTTTCTTTTTTCTCTTCTAAATTACCCAATTTCTAATTACCTTGAGCTCAGGTTTTTCTGTTTGGTTTCTATACAGTCTGTTATTAAAGTATCTCTTGATTTTTAACACAGCTTCTTGAGCGGCAGCACATGATGTTAGAAGCTTTTGCAAAACATAATAAAATGATGAAAGATTGTTCAACTGGAAAAGGTACTTACACTGGAATTATTATCACTCAAAAAAAAAAATTATCTTGTGCAGGAAACTCTTCTAACTTCAAGTTTGGGATTCTATTGCAGGATTTGACCGTCATCTTTTAGGCCTCTCACTCATAGCAAAGGAGGAAGGCCTTCCTGTTCCAGAACTCTTCACAGACCCCCTCTTCTCCAGGAGGTAACATAAAGTGGTGTCTTGTCACCTCAGCAGTTCTTCTTCCTGGATGTTAAAAGCTTTTCAGAAACAACAAAAGCCCCTGTAAGCCTAGTAAAATATCCTTTCTTTGTGCCGTACAGTGGAGGAGGTGGAAACTTTGTTCTCTCAACGAGTCTGGTTGGGTATTTTAGAGTCCAGGGAGTGATGGTTCCCATGGTGCACAATGGCTATGGATTCTTCTATCACATCAGAGATGACAGGTGAGGCTGCTCTTTTTTATTCTTACTGTGCTCATTTTCATTGTTTGAATGTCTTCCCTGCACTATGATTCTGATGTTATCATCTGTCACTTGCTCCATGGGCAGTTATTTTTTACCGCTTAGGTGTTTGATGCGTAATTAGTCTCTCCTGCTTTTGAGACTTTTGTGAAATCAGTCCTTGAGGTGTTTTGTGCACAACACCGTTTCAGCATTGACTTGGTGACCATGTCCTCCTCATCCTCCAAAATCAGTACACATATTACCATACTTGTTCTACCTCAGGTATTTGATGCTAAGTTCAGGTAAAAACTGATGGTCTAAACATATGTGGCTGTTAGTACAGTCATAGACAGTAGCAGTGATACCAGGACAAGAGACAAGGTAAATTAATTTACATTCAGAAAAGGATGGTTTACCCTTTCAGATGCATTTAATTTTTATTGTATGGGGTTTGACTTAAATTTTTGGAAAGAGTGAGAAAGAAAATACTAAAACCTGGCAAGAGAAAGAGAGGTGGAGAACAAGGTAATTAAGAATTGACAAAGACTTGGAAGGTCCCCGTTCATAGAGTCTGGCTGTCTCTTCTGTAAGAGCTTGGGTCAGAGAATTAAAATAACAGGGCCACACTTAGCACTGTGTGAATAAGAAGAGAGCAGGCTTAGAGGCATTTCAGGTGGAATGTGAAAAATGGAAAGTCTGACATGTTTCACTTTCTAAAATACTGTTTTTCTACTTTTCCTTTTTAAAAGAATTTAGTCAGTATTATTTTTTCAAAATTTTATTATCTGCCTGCATGTCAAGCATGGTTTGTGTATGCCCGAGGTGCTCGTGTTTGTTGACATCTAAGTCTTGGATGGCATATTTCCATAGTCATATTTGCAATTTCTATACATTAATTTGTAAATTAATGATAAAGCTTAAACATGGATCTTATTATCCTTTTTTTGCAATAGTCACAAGTCAAAAATCATCATCACATACAGAGAAAACTGAAGACTGTAACATATTCCCTGGCAAGTTGTGGATCTCACCTTGCATGCAGGGTTGAGTTTAGGCCAGATATGCCTCAGGTCTTTGACTTTTTGAAAAAATAAATTTTTCATGATCCTGGGACAGAACTTCTGTTCACTCACTCAGGAAATATTTAGTGAGAACTTACAATGTGCCGAAGATTGTTTTGGGCGCTCAGGACACAAGGCAGACGAGATCCCCTCTTTTGTAGATTGTACTTTTTACATGGGAAACAGGGACCAAAGGAGACAGACAAGTAGGGTGACTGCAAATAATGGTGAATATTGCAGAGGAAATAATTGAGTCAGTGTGGTCATAGAAACAAATTGGCAGGGAGACAGAGCACTGCTTTATGTAGTGTGTGGTCGGGGAAGTGTCTGAGGGAGGGCTGATGAGGCTGAGAGGGCGAGGACGTGAAGGAATTCATCATATGAATCGCCAGGAGGACAGCCCTCCAGCATCTGTCCCGCGCCCACTCTGCAGCAGGTCCTCCGGGCTCTTCTTGCTTTCGCCTTCCCTTCCCTGCAGACCATTCTCTGCGCAGCAGCCCTGATGACCCAGTGGAACCCAAGTCAGATTCTCCTACTCAGAACCCTCCGACGGCTTTTCCTTTCTTTTATTTATTTATTTATTTATTTATTTATTTATTTATTTATTTATTTATTTATTATCACAACCATAGTGTATCTTTTTTTTTTTTTTTTACATGTATTCCCCATCCCGGTCCCCCCTCCCACCTCCCTCTCCACCCAATCCCTCTGGGTCTTCCCAGTGCACCAGACCCGAGCACTTGTCTCATGCACCCAACCTGGCCTGGTGAACTGTTTCACCCTAGATAATATACGTGTTTCAATGCTGTTCTCTTGAAACATCCCACCCTCGCCTTCTCCCAGAGTCCACAAGTCTGTTCTATACATAGGAGTCTCTTTTTCTGTTTTGCACATAGGGTTATCGTTACCATCTTTCTAAATTCCATATATATGTGTTAGTATACTGTAATGGTCTTTATCTTTCTGGCTTACTTCACTCTGTATAATGGGCTCCAGTTTCATCCATCTCATTAGAACTGATTCAAATGAATTCTTTTTAATGGCTGAGTAATATTCCATGGTGTATATGTACCACAGCTTCCTCATCCATTCGTCTGCTGATGGGCATCTAGGTTGCTTCCATGTCCTGGCTATTATAAACAGTGCTGCGATGAACATTGGGGTACACGTGTCTCTTTCAGATCTGGTTTCCTCGGTGTGTATGCCCAGAAGTGGGATTGCTGGGTCATATGGCAGTTCTATTTCCAGCTTTTTAAGAAATCTCCACACTGTTTTCCATAGTGGCTGTACTAGTTTGCATTCCCACCAACAGTGTAAGAGGGTTCCCTTTTCTCCACACCCTCTCCAGCATTTATTGCTTGTAGACTTTTGGATAGCAGCCATCCTGACTGGTGTGTAATGGTACCTCATTGTGGTTTTGATTTGCATTTCTCTGATAATGAGTGATGTTGAGCATCTTTTCATGTGTTTGTTAGCCATCTGTATGTCTTCCTTGGAGAAATGTCTGTTCAGTTCTTTGGCCCATTTTTTGATTGGGTCATTTATTTTTCTGGAGTTGAGCTGGAGGAGTTGCTTGTATATTTTTGAGATTAATCCTTTGTCTGTTGCTTCGTTTGCTATTATTTTCTCCCAATCTGAGGGCTGTCTTTTCACCTTGCTTATAGTTTCCTTTGTTGTGCAAAAGCTTTTAAGTTTCATTAGGTCCCATTTGTTTATTTTTGCTTTTATTTCTAAAATTCTGGGATGTGGGTCATAGAGGATCCTGCTGTGATTTATGTCGGAGAGTGTTTTGCCTATGTTCTCCTCTAGGAGTTTTATAGTTTCTGGTCTTACATTTAGATCTTTAATCCATCTTGAGTTTATTTTTGTGTATGGTGTTAGAAAGTGTTCTAGTTTCATTCTTTTACAGGTGGTTGACCAGTTTTCCCAGCACCACTTGTTAAAGAGGTTGTCTTTTTTCCATTGTATATCCTTGCCTCCTTTGTCAAAGATAAGGTGACCATAGGTTCGTGGATTTATCTCTGGGCTTTCTATTCTGTTCCATTGATCTATATTTCTGTCTTTGTGCCAGTACCATACTGTCTTGATGACTGTGGCTTTGTAGTATAGTCTGAAGTCAGGCAGATTGATTCCTCCAGTTCCATTCTTCTTTCTCAAGATTACTTTGGCTATTCGAGGTTTTTTGTATTTCCATACAAATTGTGAAATTATTCGTTCTAGTTCTGTGAAAAATACCGTTGGTAGTTTGATAGGGATTGCATTGAATCTGTAGATTGCTTTGGGTAGTATAGCCATTTTGACAATATTGATTCTTCCAATCCATGAACACGGTATATTTCTCCATCTGTTTGTGTCCTCTTTGATTTCTTTCATCAGTGTTTTATAGTTTTCTATGTATAGGTCTTTTGTTTCTTTAGGTAGATATACTCCTAAGTATTTTATTCTTTTTGTTGCAATGGTGAATGGTATTGTTTCCTTAATTTCTCTTTCTGTTTTCTCATTGTTAGTGTATAGGAATGCAAGAGATTTCTGTGTGTTAATTTTATATCCTGCAACTTTACTGTATTTGTTGATTATCTCTAGTAATTTTCTGGTAGAGTCTTTAGGATTTTCTATGTAGAGGATCATGTCATCTGCAAACAGCGAGAGTTTCACTTCTTCTTTTCCTATCTGGATTCCTTTTACTTCTTTTTCTGCTCTGATTGCTGTGGCCAACACTTCCAAAACTATGTTGAATAGTAGTGGTGAGAGTGGGCACCCTTGTCTTGTTCCTGATTTCAGGGGAAATGCTTTCAGTTTTTCACCATTGAGGGTGATGCTTGCTGTGGGTTTGTCATATATAGCTTTTATTATGTTGAGGTATGTTCCTTCTATTCCTGCTTTCTGGAGAGTTTTAATCATAAATGGATGTTGAATTTTATCGAAATGCCCCAACATTCGAATCATAGGAGTCCCAGAAGAAGAAGACAAAAAGAAAGGCCATGAGAAGATACTCGAGGAGATAATAGATGAAAACTTCCCTAAAATGGGGAAGGAAATAGCCACCCAAGTCCAAGAAACCCAGAGAGTCCCAAACAGGATAAACCCAAGGCGAAACACCCCAAGACACATATTAATCAAATTAACAAAGATCAAACACAAAGAACAAATATTAAAAGCAGCAAGGGAGAAAAAACAAATAACACACAAAGGGATTCCCATAAGGATAACAGCTGATCTATCAATAGAAACCCTTCAGGCCAGAAGGGAATGGCAGGACATACTTAAAGTAATGAAAGAGAATAACCTACAACCTAGATTACTCTACCCAGCAAGGATCTCATTCAGATATGAAGGAGAACTCAAAAGCTTTACAGACAAGCAAAAGCTGAGAGAATTCAGCACCACCAAACCAGCTCTTCAACAAATATTAAAGGATCTTCTCTAGACAGGAAACACAGAAAGGTGGTATAAACGTGAACCCCAAACAACAAAATAAATGGCAACGGGACCATACCTATCAATAATTACCTTAAATGTAAATGGGTTGAATGCCCCAACCAAAAGACAAAGGCTGGCTGAATGGATACAAAAGCAAGACCCCTATATATGCTGTCTACAAGAGACCCACCTCAAAACAAGGGACACATACAGACTAAAAGTGAAGGGCTGGAAAAAAATATTACACGCAAACGGAGACCAAAAGAAAGCAGGAGTCGCAATACTCATATCAGATAAAACAGACTTTCAAATAAAGACTGTGAAAAGAGACAAAGATGGACACTACATAATGATCAAAGGATCAATCCAAGAAGAAGATATAACAATTATAAATATATATGCACCCAACATAGGAGCACCGCAATATGTAAGGCAAACGCTAACGAGTATGAAAGAGGAAATTAATAGTAACACAATAATAGTAGGAGACTTTAATACCCCACTCACAACTATGGATAG